GCTCGAGAAAAGTCTTATTTCTTCACCGGAATATAGTTTTAGATAGCCAATAAATTGTAGGGTACAAATACATCGCCACTTCAAGCTCCGCAAGCGTTTTTCGTTGTGTTCATGCACAAGGAAATCGCGGGCGTGTGTTGTCGTAAACAGGAGGTTAACTTTTGATATGTCGATATCATGTCATGAGCACACTTAAGTAATTATTTAATCACAATCTGTTTACTAAAGAACTAGGTTGATAGGTTGATGTCCTTGGTTCTAAGGTTACACTCTACAGTTGGCCCTAAGGCAGTTTCTATCTACCGCGGTAGACTTGTATGCAATGTGATATGCAAATTTTCTGCATATACAGCCTTGTGTCTACCGCGGTGCGGTAGATTAAGGCTTACCGCGGTAGGATAATTTGGCGACACTCCCTAAATAAAAAGACTATAACAATAAACAAACTATAATGCAACATATTTTCATTAAACAGCAACGTTGATTGAGTGCATTAAAATTTGATAATTCTCAATATCACCTTTCAGATAATTTAAAGAACGTTTCAGGTCGTTTTCAACATTCCAAAACTTTCTATAATTTACGTGCTGTACGTTCATTTCCACGCGCTCAGCACATACTGAAGCTGGAAATTACGTTTTGTTGCATATTTTGGGTTCCTGACACTATTCAAATTTGCATATCTACTGGTTTAGTACTATCAGGCCAACAATTTTTATTTTTTAACTCGCATGCGTCACTGAGATATGGGTCAAAATGACCCTGTGACAGACATAATCAGAGAAAGTGACTTTTCCTACGTCACTATACTTTTTTTTTAAAACTTTGTGATGTGTGAGACATTTAAAAAAAAAAATATTTATCTGTTGTTTTCCACTAATGTGTGGGCTCGCTAGCAGAATAAAAATTTAATTTAATTTTTTTTCATTTTCTCTATGAAAACACCAATGTGCTAAATGCGAAAAAAAAGTTGTGATTTGTTGATCATAATTATTATGGTATATATAGTTAAAGCTTAGTAAGCTATAGTTAGGCCTAAGTTGTCCTGGATATTAAGTAGATCCTTCATGAGAAATTTGTTGGCGTTTCATTTTGACTACAATGGTGATGTGATGATGATGAATTTTACTATATAAAAGTGTCATTCCTGGCCATCTAGAGAGGTACTACAGTATCTTCTCACCTCAGCCTCATGGTGGGGCTGAGGTGGTTGTAAAATCACGTTTTTGAAGTAGGCCTATGTAAAGTACATACTCAAAGACAATGTTTTTAAGCTTTGTTTTCTATGGTATATCACACACACATTAATAAGATCTCTATGGTTGTCAAAAAATCCTGATAAAAAGATCATGAGAATTTTTTTGGCGCTTCATTTTGACTAATGGTTATATGATGATGAATTTTACTAAAAGTGTTATTTCTGACCATCTAGAGGTACTATTTCCTCAAATGTTCTCACCTCAGCTCCAACCATGGTGGGGTTGAGGTTGGTATCGACTCACAAAATGCCCTCCCCCTCCAGATCTGTGCCCTTCCCTGGATATGACCCCACCGGGTCGGCTCCTGATGTATGTCTTAGTGACTGCTGTTTGTTTTTAGGATGTGATCTGGTTTTTCACGTCCATTTTTCGGGATTATGACTATTCTGGATAGAGAATGTTCTGAGCAGAGTTGGATTCAAGGCCCCCCTCTGTTTATTTTTTTTAAAGAAAATTCAAATTGAAGTGAGTGTAATTTCCGGCCATCTAGAAATGCCATAATCATAAATTTTCTTACCTCAGCCCCAACCACGGTGGGGCTGAGGTGGGTGGTTCCTCTGTCTGTTTAAAGTCCCTCCCTCGTTCACCTCTCTTTCGAATTCCTAGATCTGCCACTGTTGATTTATTATATAATTATTTTGCCCTTACCGCTATTTATAATGCGTCTATTGCAATTTTCACTTTATCCTCTCAAAAAGTCCAGAACGTTTAGAGTGCGCTACTTCACAGAGGGATTCGCCCCCTTGACCCCGCTAGGGCCCTACGTAATTCGCATAACGGCTCCTCCCCTTTCAAAATCCTGGCTACGTTCCTGGCTTGTTAACACATTTTTAAAATGTTCAAAATGTCAAAGGTCAGGCTCAAAATTCATAGTAATAGGGCCCTTATATCTTCGCAACCACATGTGGTAGAAAGTTTGGTGCCAAGTTATTCAAAACATTTATATTTCTATTTGCACTATAATAGAATATTTTGTTAAAAAATGACTGGACATGCCATTTATGACCTTTGGTAAAATCTCCGGGTCATATTCACAGGTTATCATATCTCTGTAACAACTGGTGGTAACCAGGTAATTGTGGTGTCAATTTGTTCAGAAAATTCATGTAAACAGATTTATAAAGGAGTTGGATCTAAATTTGTAACCAGGAAAAATGATTATTTGGTTCCCAAAACTAGGTAGGCTGGTTTCCTGGATATATACCGTACTATAGGTAGGTAATTAATGTACCTAGCAGCCTACACAGTGTGGTGGGAGGGTTGTTAAAGTGTGAGCCAGCGAGTCAGCGATTCAACCAGCGAGGCATGCAATTCATGCGAGCCATGACGGTAATTCATTCGGGGCGTGTATAATAGTGCGAGTCATGTGAGGCAGACCAAAGTCCACGCTAATAAGCACTTGTACAATGTAAACAATTATAATGAATTAACTATTTTAATATAATTATTTTGAAAAAAGACGATGCCCAGCTATCCAGACGCGACTTCAAGTAGGCCTATAATGAATGACTAGACTATGTAATATTCATTTCACACCCGTTCGCCGTATGCATGGAGGGAGGAACCTTATTTCTTTTTCACAAAATAACCATAACTAGCTAAAGAAAATTAAAAAACATGAAACCAAACACAGTTGAAAGAGTAAACGTCATAATTTAAAATGCATAAAAGACTAATAATAATTAATTTATGGGCTAACATACATCCTGTGATCCATAATGTTTAAAAAAGCAATAATTTCACAGTATTTATTCAAATAAACGGCCTACTTTGAACAAACTCACCCTCGAATAAACTCACCCCCCTCCCCCACCTCCACAAAAAAAAGGTTACTAGGAATAAACGCTTCGGGACCTTTAATTTTCTTTGAATTGTCTCTAAGTAACTATGGATGGATGAAATGGAAGTAACATCATATTGAACATTATTAATGTTTTACCCTAATGGAATGAAATTAACTGCTAATTAGGGATTTATAAGCCATGCAAAAACACTTTCAAAATACCAAATCTTTGCATCCCATAGACCAATATTCATGATCCTTACTGTCACTCAATTAAGAAATGAGAACTGCTTTTTACTGCACTAATAATACTACTACTTGTAATTTTTTTGTTTTTTTTAGGCCAAGTGTGACGAGTCAAATTTTGTTGATGCCAATCGCTTGCAACATTGCCTTGACCAACTGAAAATGGCCATTAAAAGTAAGTACTTTATAGTGTGCACTTTTAACTACTAACAGCGTAAAAAGACATTTAGTGGTTCAACTAGATAAATAATAAAAGATTGAAGAAACAGTAGATTGCTAAACTTGTATCATACTGTATATATATAAATTATTACCCCTTAGGCCTATATTACCATTTATAAACATGTTAATATAGCAAACACCGTTCGTGTGAACACTTTTGAATTTTAATCTGTGGATTAGCTTGTGCCAACGTAAGCTACGTCAACCTTATGCCATGTGTGTGTGAACATACCCTATGTTTGATAAACAAAAGTTTTAATGCCAAAAATATGCTGTTCATAAAAAAATAGGCTGCCAGCTACTGCCTTATACTTAAAAAATGTTTACTGAATTATCTGAATGGGGAATCAGTTTCGTCTCTGTGACGCATGTTCGAGTTTCAAACGAACTCCATTCATTTTCTAATAGGGTGCCCCCCTATCTCATGGTAATGCACATCACACACCTCCATCAGATTTACTAGCTGTTAAGC